GAATCAGTTATTTTGTTTATATCTTGTCTTTAATTATTATATTTATATGATGCATGGATTCTAGCTAGAGCCCGTACAAACGTATGCGTAATTTGAAGTCAATGTTCTTAAATTGTATTTTTATGAAATATTTGGCGTTTAATTATACAAGTACGTATAAAAAACGGACATGCACGGACTATTTAATTCAATTTTGGCTAAGTAAGATGATCGCTTTAGTTTTATGACCAACTTCTGATAGCATGGGAATATTATATTTACTGGTCTGTGCATCCTTCCGTTCTTCCGTTCTTTTCAAAATATAAAACCTTTAAAATTATATATCAACTATGAGTTTGACCCAGATTAAGTAGTGCACTGAACATGGAAATATTATCATGTGGAGGGGCACGGTATCTCTAGGCCACACATTCTTGTTGCAAAAGTTCTGATTAATAAACGTTCATGTATATGTTTCTTCCAGATTCATAACTGTCTCTTTGGTTGCGCGCTCGCCTCGACATTAATCTCTCAAAGGTGTTCAAGGGAATAGAAATATGATCGCTATTGGTCTTGTTCCGATCAGCAGCTTAACCATTGCCAAAGTGGAGAGTTCGTTTAAATGTGCGGGATGTACAAGTACGCAGTCCATTCCGTTCAGAGTGGGGACGTTAAATTCGGTGCCTCTTTTGGATATAATGTCACGCTTTCTTCACGTTAATTATGCAAGAAATGTTTGCCACTGGACGTTAAACAACTAACTGTCAATCAATCGGCAGTAGCGTACTTTGAATTTTATTTCTGGTGAGGCAAATGATTTGATTCTTAGCAGTTACAGCCTCACCTTGGTTTAAAGGCGTCAATGTCAGTAAGGAGTGGACGGTTAGTTGAAAATATGAATCGCAAAATAGGTGTAGGTGATCATACTCTTGATAGGTCACACAGGGCAAAAAAATACTGTCTATGAAAAATCCAGATTTATGGATTCTATCATAAAATTATATTTCTAGTGCGCATTTTATCAATATATTTCAATGAAACTTCTGGTTAAAGGCTTAATTCTCAGTATTCAGTTAGGTATTAGAATTCAGATAGATCCTGATCGAAACAAAATAAAATGACAAAATCATAAGTACGACCTCCTTCACTTTACTGAATCAGTTAATTTGTTTATATCTTGTCTTTAATTATTATATTTATATGATGCATGGATTTTAGGAAGAGCCCGTACAAACGTATGCGTAATTTAAAGTCAATGTTCTTAAATTGTATTTTTCTGAAATATTTGGCGTTTAATTATACAAATACGTATGAAATACGGACATGCACGGACTATTAAATTGAATTTTTGCTAAGTAAGATGACCGCTTTAGTTTTATGACCAACTTATGATAGCATGGGAATATCATATTTACTTGTCTGTGCATCCTTCCGTTCTTCCGTTCTGTTCAAAATATAAAACCTTTAAAATTATATACCAACTATGAGTTTGACCCAGATTAAGTAGTGCACTGAACATGGATATTATCATGTGAAGGGCACGGTGTCTAAAGGCCACACATTCTTGTTGCAAAAGTTCTGATTAATAAACGTTCATGTATATGTATCTTCCAGATTCATAACTGTCTCTTTGGTTGCGCGCTCGCCTCGACATTAATCTCTCAAAAGTGTTCAAGGGAATAGAAATATGATCGCTATTGGTCTTGTTCCGATCAGCAGCTAAACCATTGCCAAAGTGGAGAGTTCGTTTAAATGTGCGGGATGTACAAGTACGCAGTCCATTCCGTTCAGAGTGGGGACGTTAAATTCGGTGCCTCTTTTGGATATAATGTCACGCTTTCTTCACGTTAATTATGCAAGAAATATTTGCCACTGGACGTTAAACAACCAACTGTCAATCAATCGGCAGTAGCGTACTTTGAATTTTATTTCTGGTGAGGCAAATGATTTGATTCTTAGCAGTTACAGCCTCACCTTGGTTTAAAGGCGTCAATGCCAGTAAGGAGTGGACGGTTAGTTGAAAATATGAATCGCAAAATAGTTGTAGGTGATCATACTCTTGATAGGTCACACAGGGCAAAAAAATACTGTCTATGAAAAATCCAGATTTATGGATTCTATCATGAAATAATATTTCTAGTGCGCATTTTATCAATATATTTTAATGAAACTTCTGGTTAAAGGCTTAATTCTCAGTATTCAGTTAGGTATTAGAATTCAGATAGATCCTGATCGAAACAAAATAAAATGACAAAATTATAAGTACGACCTCCTTCACTTTACTGAATCAGTTAATTTGTTTATATCTTGTCTTTAATTATTATATTTATATGATGCATGGATTTTAGGAAGAGCCTGTACAAACGTATGCGTAATTTAAAGTCAATGTTCTTAAATTGTATTTTTCTGAAATATTTGGCGTTTAATTATACAAATACGTATGAAACACGGACATGCACGGACTATTAAATTGAATTTTTGCTAAGTAAGATGACCGCTTTAGTTTTATGACCAACTTATGATAGCATGGGAATATCATATTGACTGGTCTGTGCATCCTTCCGTTCTTCCGTTCTGTTCAAAATATAAAACCTTTAAAATTATATACCAACTATGAGTTTGACCCAGATTAAGTAGTGCACTGAACATGGATATTATCATGTGAAGGGCACGGTGTCTAAAGGCCACACATTCTTGTTGCAAAAGTTCTGATTAATAAACGTTCATGTATATGTATCTTCCAGATTCATAACTGTCTGTTTGGTCGCGCGCTCGTCTCGACAGTAATCTCTCAAAGGTGTTCAAGGGAATAGAAATATGATCGCTATTGGTCTTGTTCCGATCAGCAGCTAAACCATTGCCAAAGTGGAGAGTTCGTTTAGATGTGCGGGATGTACAAGTACGCAGTCCATTCCGTTCAGAGTGGGGACGTTAAATCCGGTGCCTCTTTTTGGATTTAATTTCACGCTTTCTACACGTTAATTATGCATGAAATATTTGTCACTGGACGTTAAACAACCAACTGTCAATCAATCGACAGTAGCGTACTTTGAATTTTATTTCTGGTGAGGCAAATGATTTGAATCTTGGCAGTTACAGCCTCACCTTGGTTTAAAGACGTCAATGCCAGTAGGGAGTGGACGGTTAGTTGAAAATATGAATCGCAAAATAGGTGTAGGTGATCATACTCTTGATAGGTCACACAAGGCAAAAAGATACTGTCTATGAAAAATCCAGATTTGTGGATTCTATCATGAAATAATATTTCTAGTGCGCATTTAATCAATATATTTCAATGGAACTTCTGGTTAAAGGCTTAATTCTCAGTATTCAGTTAGGTATTAGAATTCAGATAGACCCTGATCGAAACAAAATAAAATGACAAAACTATAGGTACGACCTCCTTCACTTTACTGAATCAGTTAATTTGTTTATATCTTGTCTTTAATTATCATATTTATATGATGCATGGATTCTAGGAAGAGCCCGTACAAACGTATGCGTAATTTAAAGTCAATGTTCTTAAATTGTACTTTTTTGAATTATTTGGCGTTTAATTATACAAATACGTGTAAAAAACGGACATGCACGGACTATTTAATTGAATTTTTGCTAAGTAAGATGATCGCTTTAGTTTTATGACCAACTTATGATAGCATGGGAATATTATATATACGGGTCTGTGCATCCTTCCGTTCAGAATATCCTTCTAAATATTTCCCCCCCAACAAATATAATAAAAAGAAAGAGAAACTATTAAGAAAAACAGAAAAAAAAGTATAATGGAGCGTTCATTTGCAAAGTATTTTGAAAAATAATTGTCATAATTGTAAAGATTTGGGGATACTCAGTTTACGATCCACTATGTCTCTTAACTTTATACATTTAGCTTTTGTCAACATGTATGGATGATAATAACTGGAAGAACTATTAAGTAATAAAAAACAGCCAACCATCATATCAGTTTCACAGTTATTACCTCTTGTTTGGATCAGTTTTGTTTGCGAGTTATACTTTGTCTGTTACTTAAAAAAGATATTTGTATCTACTTTGTTCATTTGAGGATCATCCTGGATCCAAATCTTAATAAAATGGATAAAATATTCTAAGTTCACTTCAAGGGATATCAAATATTCCCTGGAAATATCTTTTGTATTTGGACTCCGATAACATTCCCGTTAAACAAATTAATACAAAACAATTCCTAATCGAACACACCTTAATTTAAAAAAAAACAAACATATATAGGGATTTCTTTATCAATACATTTTATAATAAATGAAAAATAGTTTTGTTTCTACATTAAATGGAAGCGATAGTTTTATTTGAATTTCCAACCATTATAAAGAGACAGATTCAGACAAATTCTGCTTTCGATATTTCTGAAATTGTCAGAAACATATCCTTCTAAATATTTCCCCCCAACAAATATAATAAAAAGATAGAGAAACTATAAAGAAAGACAGAAAAAAAAGTATAATGGGGCGTTCATCTGCAAAGTATTTTGAAAAAAAATTGTCATAATCAAAATCATGAAAGATAACTCGAATCGTATGTATGATAGGTATGGGATACGTGTGTTAATACGTGATCTTATGTCAGTAAAATAAGGCAGGAATCCGGAAAACCACGTGTGCAATATTTCTGTCATTTTTCGTCATGATAAAAAAAAATTATAATGACGAAAGTTCAAGTGTTTGATTTTAAAAGTCTTGAAATACTTTGTTTAAACTTAAGCGACGTATTTAATCAAATTCGATGATTGGCAATAACCCGTCCCATTAGGTCCGTTCGTAGAGTTACGTACGTATTTCATTTTATTTGAAATCTCTATTAGCATTTAATTACCGAAAATTACCATATCAATGTTTTTTTAATGTCACCATCGAATTCTGAATATTGAGTCAGTGTAACCTTCCGGGACTAAACGTCCAATATCGGTCGCATCGACCCGGTAGTTGCAAACGCATTGTTTTGGAATGCCAGAAGCGTGTTTCGTAAATAAACAAATAAATATTTACCTTGATTATGCTTGTAATTAATATTTTGATCGTTAGAAGGTTTATTCCTACTGTTTTGTTGATCTGCAAAGTGATATATCTAATTTAAAAAATATTCAAATTTAAGAAAACAAAATAAGTCTGTTGTTCAGTGGTTTTCGTTTCTTGGTGTGGTTTATAGGTGTTTTCTCGGTTTTTTTTTATATAGATTAGACTGTTGGTTTACCTGTTTGAATTGCTTTGAATTTCACTAGTCATTTTGAGGCCCTAGCTTGCTGTTCAGCGTGAGTCAAGGCTCCGTGTTGACGGCCGTACTTTGACCTATAATTGTTAACTTTTTATACATTGTGACTTGGATGGAGAGTTGTCTCATTGGCACTCATACCGCATCTTCTTATTCATATAAATTTTCTAATTCTCATCAAAGAAAGTTACAAGTGATAATAAAATAACTTTTATACATGCCAAGAATTCATTTATATATTAGTATCTTTGTTTTGTTTTATCTGTATTGTATAATTGGGTATATGCTGAGATTTGTTTGCATTGTATAATAATGTTTCTGATTCGTTTATTATTAGTACTTGGTATGCTATAAATATCAACATCAAAGGTCACTAACCGTTTTCAAGGAAAAACAAAATTGATTTGTAATATGTAATTCCAATTTAAATACCCTTTTTGCAGTAGATTGATTGCAAACTTGCATCTATTTTCTACCTAATTCAATATTTCATCAAAAAAGTGGAAACCCATCATTAAATGAATTTCCCGAGTAAATGTATGCGACTTAAAAAAAAAAGGGGGGGGGGGGTTCCATTTTAAAAAGATTTTTTTCAAATAATAAGAACAACGACTGTCAAAACTATACAAAATGTATAGCCAAATATGAAAAAAATATGTTTTTGTTAATATAACTATCTATTGTACCCCAATAAAAGTCTAACATTGTGTTTTGGGCATATATGTTGAATTCGGTACATGCAAAACTGCCAACAAAATTTCTTTCAAAACAGACTAATATTGGAGTTTAAACAGTGTCATGACATTTTGTTTTCAAAAAAATGTATAAATAGGAACATAAATCTTTAAACAAAAAAGTTTATAAAATAGATCTTTAACATCTTTAAGAAGACATTTTTTATAAATAGGACCACCTTTTATCTGTTTAAAAACTGAAAAAAGTTTCTGTTGTTCAATCCCAACTAAGTGACACAAAATAAGAAATTTTCTTCTATGCAGGATAGATTAACATTGCAATAAACATATGTTACTTTAATAAGAAACAACTTTAAAAAGATATTTTTGATGAATAGAACCGCCTTTTATCCGTTTAAGAATTGAGAAAGTTTCGGTTGTTCAATCCCAATCTAAGTGACACAAGATGAGACATTTTCTTCTATGCAGGATAATTTAAACTCACACTAGACATACGTTACTTTAACAAGTAATTCAGACTTCAAATGACTTTTGTATTGTGGGAACGTTATAACAAGGTTCTGACACTTGGCTGGAATATATATGTTCGTACATGCAAGGCTAAGCAACAAGATCTCGAATATCAACATTGGTCCAAAGTTTCACTATCGCGGTTAACGAACACGACACAATTTTTAAACCACAAGTCCTAATAATATTGCGAATATAAATGTTAAGCTTCGGACATTTGACTTGGTGTGCTGGTCGAATGTGTGTGTTCAACATGTAGCGTGCTTTTATTCAGCATCATAGGACATTTCAAAACAGTTTGTCATTGCAGAATACACTTTGGCCTTATCAATCTAAAATCGGGGACATAAAACAACTGTTACATTCTCCAACAAATGTCAAATGAACCCTGTCTAGAAAGGAATAGTCTAGGACGCTGCTTGCAACTCAATATCCTTCAACAAAAGTCAAGAAAAAACCATCTCTGGTCGACAGTATATACTTGCCATGATCACCTGATTGCAGTTTCTGGAAACTTGCCGATTGTCGTGATTGTTTTGCCCTACGGTCTGGTCTGTATGAATTGATTTGATATCTGAACTAGGGTTAGCATTGATATCTCACTGCTGATGGGTAAAAAATAGTTTCTGTAAATTTGTAATTAATGAATAAATAAAATTGAGAATGGAAATGGGAAATGTGTCAAAGAGACAACAACCCGATCAAAGAGCAGAAAACAGCAGAAGGCCACCAATGGGTCTTCAACACAGCGAGATAATCCCGCATCCGGAGGCGGACTTCAGCTGGCTCTTAAACAAAAATGTGTACTAGTTCAGTAAAAATGGACGTCACACTAAACTCCAAAACATGAGAAATGAACTAAAATTAAAAAAACATACAAGACTGACAAAGGCCAGAGGCTCCTGACTTGGGACAGGCGCAAAAATGCGGCGGGGTTAAACATGTTTTGTGTGATCTAAACCATCACCCTATACATCTAGCCAATGTAGAATAAACAAACACACAGCAGTACGCACAGTAAAACTCAGTTAAAAGAAGTCCGAGTCCGATGTCAGAATAGGTGACAAAAAAACTAAGCAAAATGACAAGGATACATAAATTAACAAAGACTACTAGCATTTACTGACATGCCAGCTCCAGACGTCAATTAAACTGACTGAAAGATTATGTCTTCATCGTATGAAAATCAAGCACAAATCCAGCACAATCCCTCCCGAAAAAACTAGGGGTTTAGTATCATATCATCATAAAATATATGAGAAGAACATAGCCCGTATCATGCCAACAACTGGTTTTAGAATAAATGTGTTTATTTCCGATGCAAAGACCATATGAGTGAATCAATATTACTACCAAAATATGCCATCTTTAATAACCTGACAACAGTATCATAACTATATCCATTTTGAAAAAGTCTGTTTAAAGGTTTGATTAGCTTTTGAGGTGAATCCCTGTAAAGGTTTACAATGGTTGTATGATAAGCTAACCTTTATCTAAATCTATGGTCTAGAGTATGTAATCCCTTGTCTTCCTTGAAGCTTTCTTATTACAATATGACAAATAATAAATCGATTTAAACTTTGACACCCATGACTTCGATTTCTGTTTTTTAGCCGGCAGCTATTTTGTCTTTTAATTATGTCTCTACGAAAAAGTTAAAGGCAACAGTAGTTTACAGATGTTCAATTTTTCAAACAATAACTGAGAGAATCCCATGAACTTCAAAAAGAGTTCAGATTGGTTGCGTCAACATCATGCAACACACGCCATGCGAATAAAAAATCGTCAAATTGTTACAAACTGGAATGGGACACAAATGGTAAATTTTTAGATCTGATCTGGTCCTAAGTATTTAGATATCTTAAACCACGAAAAGATGTTGCTAGTGAGTTGAGACACGATAAAGCCTAAAAGTAACACCATTCGTGATGGTGACCTTAAAACTTATTTTGTGTCTATTTCATTCGCCGGTTCTTCCTCATAAGTCAGTACTTATCTCCATATATGTATTTACACGTTCGACACACGGGTCTCACATGTGGAGCAGAATCTGCTACACTTTCCTGGAAACACTAGATAAACCTCGGTTTTCAGTAAAGTTCGTGTTGATTTTTAGTTTTCTATGCAGTGTTTTGTAGAATTTTGTTTGTCTCTACGTCGTTCTTCGTCTTTTGCCATGACGTTGTGATATTGTCTTTTATGAAGTCTGTACTGTGTCAACATGCACGAGCGTAAGGTATTAATTGAGATATGTAAACACCAAACGATAGATATAGTACTATTGTGAAATGGGAAATTGACATTTGGAAAGAAAAAATCGTCATGCGACATGTGACATAGATTTTTTTTTAAGTCGTCAACCAACAAAAGGTCTCTATATGAAGCTTATATTCTAGTTTCGGTAGTATCCTTTATCACAACTCGATGGGGTACAGCTACTGAACCACTCAATTTCCCGTTTTTCCGTTTTCGTTCCGTTTTTCATTCATTCCGTTTGCGTGTTTCATTCATTCCATTCATTTCGTTCATTTCGTTTGAGTTCATTCCGTGTTCCACTCTGTTCATACACGAAATTGCCTGATAACAAGCGTGATGTTCGGTAAACGTGTGAAGCTAATCATTTCGTTTTTGAACGTTTACAGCGTGTGTGAACGATAATATCATTCTGAAACAAAAGGTAATTTGATTCGCTTCACAAACAAATTTCGTATTTTATAATCACATCATCACATGTATTTTTCTTCATCAACAAAACCTACGACAACCACAACGTTCATACTAGTGTCATGAGTCATTATGATGGTTTAAATATTAAATGATAAATATGTTTGTATGATTTATCAATTTAAAAACTACAATTATAAGGTGACCGTAGAAAAATTGTCAGAAGGAATAAAAAAGCACACTTCATACAATACAATAAATGTTTGGTTTTAGAGTTAATTTTGAAAGAAAATACCATTAAAAAGTTGGCAAGGAAAAGTTAGGTCGGATAATTGTGTAACCATATACAGTACAAGTAACACTGGATTAGGAATGAGTTTAATAGGAATAAACATTCTAGTATATTCATTTTAAGAATATATGTTACGATTTACAAATTTCAAGAAATAAGATTTTTTAAAACTTAAGTTACACGGGAATTCTGCAGATATAACAATTTTTATCAAAATTAACAAATTGTACCTTAAATTTTGCTTAAAAGAGTGGAAACAATTGTGTGTCCTTTCTTCTCAGGCGATCTTGCGTAACTGAGATATTGACGGTAATACTACCTCGGATGATGGTTAGGACGGAAAAGGTTATCATTTCAGTCAGATATCTTTACATTTATCCGTTAAAATACATGCAAAAAAATGCAGTTCACATCACGTGCGTTCAACATATAAATTTTAGAAGTTAAAATTGTAAGAAAAGTTGCGATCACGATCTTTGTACACAAGTGAGTAATAAATATATATTCTTTATGTAAGTATACTGCATACTGAAATATGACGAAGTCTTCCATCAAAAACCTAGCTGTAGGGCAGTTTGATTTAATTTGTTTAAATACTAAATCAATTTAGATGGGTCGTAAAAAAATAAAGTCATCCCTGGAATTGTCCGGTTCCAACAGTAAAACCCTTCTTACAAGT